TTTACTGAAAAGGAATGCAAGGAAAATTTTATTGTACTTATAGTTTTTTATTCATTTTTATAGATGGTACTAAATTACCACCTATCTGCATTTTTAAAGGAAAACGGATGTCACGAGGAGAACAAATTCCTTCTGGAGTAGTAGTGTGGTTTCAGGAAAATGCATGGATGAATGCTGATCTGATGAAAAGGTATGTGGTTTATCTTAATGATGCAAGAACTAACAATATTCCAGCAATGTTAGTGTATGATTCATTTAGGGGTCATATTGAAGAATCGGTAAAATTAAAGTTTCGCGAAAGTGGATATAATTTGGCGGTCATTCCAGGCGGATTGACTAGCATTTGCCAACCGCTTGATGTTGCGATCAATAAACCATTCAAAGAAAATCTACGAAGAGAATGGCATAGCTGGATGTCCAAGGGTGGTGCAGGAACAACTTCTGCGGGAAACCTTCGTCGGGCAAAATTAAGTGATGTTTGCATGTGGGTCAAACGTTCTTGGGAGGCAATTTCAGACGAAATTATTATCAGGTCCTTTAAAAAATGTAAGATATCAAATTCTTTAGATGGATCTGATGAGAGTGGAGATGATAGCGAAGATGGAAGTGGATATGAGAGTATAGATGAGAGTGCAGACGAAAATGAAGATAATAATTTGGATGTTATATATATTGATAGTGATTGTGACGGTAACGATAGCATTGATGACAATAATAGCATTAATAGTGATTAAGGTGATAGCATTTATAATTATTGAAATAAACATTTTTTACAACGAGTTATATAATATATATGAGTGCCGAAATAACAATAAATAATAATCGGATTTTAATTGAATAAATTGTGGGGATGCTTATTTTCGGGTATTAATAAATCTTGGTGATGCTTATTTTCGGGGAGTGCTTATTTTCGGAGGAATATGATATATATATTTTTTTATAAAATTTTGAAAAAAAATTTTTATTAAATATATTTATATTTATTCTTCATCTAAATTTAATATATAATATTCAAACCCATGATTACTTTCATCAGAATCACTTGTATCATTATTTCCTTCATTTTCACTATTATCACTAATTACTAATGCTAAATTTTTTTTTTTTGTAATTTTTAAAAGTCCTTTATAAATCTGAAGATTCCCATAAATATAAACTAATTTTTTAACACGTATATTTTGCAATCTATTACGAATTTTATTATGAATGAAACCAAAAGTGTAAAAATTTCTTTCTGCAGCTGCAGATGATGTAGGAATTGAAAGAATTTAATAGCTAATTGTACAAGAATTTTTATTTCTAATTATATTAATTATAGCCAATTATAGATTATAAAGCTTGAATTTGATTGGTTAATCATAAATAATGGTTAATTAACCGTGGTTAATTAACCCCCATCCCTACTCATGATCCTTTATAAATATAATATTTAAATATTTAAAATTTAAAAGTAATTTTACATATACTGTAGGTGCTAAAATTTAATATTATACAATTTGTTATATATAAAATATATAAAATATAAAATATTAAATTAAATAAAAATTACTTATTAAATAATATAAATTTAATTCAATTAACTTTAATTAATCAATATGTTTAACTAATTTTCGGTACTAAATAAACTTTTACTATTTTTATATATATTTTGTCACTTTTAAAAAAAAAAATTGACAGAAATTTATTTTGAATTATAGACTACTTACAAACTTACAAAACAAAAATTATGGGAACGACTAGGCTATCTCCCAACATTAATTTACCATCCGCGATTTATAGTTAAAGCGATGCCGATCGGAACATTATTTAACCTCATTGTATGATTCAAAGGCCGCATTAATTATCCGAGATAGTGTTATCGATGCTTAATATTTATTATTTTACGAAAAGATGGCACAACATATTAATTTACATTTGATGCGCCAATCAATTTTTTTTTGTATTTGCTTCACATGCATCATTAATTTAATCTATTTGTATAATGAAATCGTTTTAACAAATAATAAAGTTCATTTTCCAAATAATTATTGAATAACCGTTTTTAACCTTATTATTAAATGATTATTATTGAATGATTTTTTTTTCGAAATACAAAGTCTTATTATTTCTTTATGGAAGATGCCAAGGAATGTCAGTGATGATTGGAAATGTGAGATGAATGTTTGAAACAATTTCATGCACACCTTAATTAAATACATTATGGAAAATACCCATGTAACTTATCCCAATAAAAAACTTAATAATGGTATAAAAATAGAAATTTAATTGTGATTATGTAATGATGATAACATATGGTAAAAATAATAAAATAAATAAAATACATTTTATTATGCTAATAACATACATTTAAGAAAACTATTATATAACAATTATTACTATAATTTAATTTCTACATGAATAAATAAATTAAACTTCAATAAATCTATAATACATACTTAAAGTTTTAATTCGAATTCAATAGGATAATGGTCAGTGACACGTTTCGCGGCCTTTTTAATTAAAGCAGTATCAGCTTTTCCCTTCTTCCAGCCTTCGTCAAATCTCCATATTCCGGTTTGACCGATCCATTTGCGCTCATTGGCGATTTCAAAAATAAATCGATCGTATGCTGCATCTGATCCATCAGACACTGTGGTATCCCTATTATGTTGGATTCCCCACATCAAGTTGAATCCTTTTAAGATATTATCAATTTCCGTGCGTTGCGTTTTGTTAAGATAAGACCCGGAAGCATTTAAATCGCCCATCATTATAATAGGTTCTTTTGCGGTTCCATCTTCTGAAAGTCCCATTTGGGACGCTTCTTCGGTAAAATCTCTCGTAGAAATGGGTGAATAAGATCCAAAACAGCAACAACAATAATTCAAGAAAAATGAGCGTAGTCCTGCAAATCGCTTTTCTTTTTTTTCGGGTCTTCTTTCCAGCTGCCTTTTTTCTTGTACGATGTCACGTACTAATTTCTTTTTAACATCAACATAAACTTCACTAATTAAGGATTTGATCTCTTCGTATGCATTTTCTGGTTGAGTGTGACAACCAACGAGTGTTATTCTAACATCGGACTTTTTTAAATGTTGAAATCTGGCAACATAGGGCTCCCTTATAAATTTGTCGCCCAACTTTTCGTCGTCGACAACGTAAGCCTCCAAAACTTTCCATTCATTCTTTCGATATAAGAATACGTATCTCTCTTGATAAGAGTTTCGTCCGATAGGGTGACTAGCGACATAGGTGTACGGTGTGGCTGGTGTGGAAACTTCATCAGCAAGTTGTTGAATGATCTCATCCGATGCGCGAATCTCTTGACATAATATGATGTCGTAACTTCGGAGGATATCGGTAATTATTCTCATAAGTATATGATTAGAAGCCTTTTTGCTTCCAAAAGCTTGAATGTTAAGAGCACCGATCATGGCAATGTTTTTATTAAAAACGCTAGGCCTTGAAGAGGAGGGAGGAGGAAAAGAAGCCAACAATTCATCAAGTTCATTTGAATGGTTATCGTCATCAGTCGTCTTGACTTTTTCTTTACCCTTCTTTCGAGTTTTTTTAACGGGAGTAGGAGGGGTTAGCTTTTCCTTATCCAAATCTTCTTTTTTTTTACCTTTGGCACTTTTTTTGGTCGGATGTCTCACTATAATTTTTGGAATAATGGATTTATTTTTGTGAACAATTAAAGTTTTCTGACGATGAGTTCGTCTTCGTTTTCTTGACTTACTACGAGTACCTTTTTTTTCATCGTCATCCTTTGATCCACCTGGTGAAGGAGAACGAGATGAACTTTCTGAAGATCCCGAATCATCGGTGTCGGAACTTTGATGAGGTGAATGTTGTCTAGAACCTTGTTTCCCTACAGGTTTTTTACTCGTCTTTCTACCTTGCCGTGAAGAATTAGAATCACTACTGTCGGTGCCTTCTGAATCGGATGGTCTATACTCTTCTTCTTCTTTTCGTCGTCTCGATTTTTTTGATTTTTGGGGGGTTTGCTTACCTTCCTCAGTAGGAACCGACGTGGGATGATCATCCTTACTTACCACTTCTTCATGTGACTCAGGAACATCAACTTTTTTATTTTTAGGTTTTGGAGGCATAATTTTCGTAAATTGAATTGATTTATCGTAAAGGATCGGAAAGGAAAAGGAAAAAAAAAGGGATTCAATTCAAATTATATCTCTTTTTAAATAAATACTGAAATGGTTTACCACTAACCAAATCTTTATAACAAATCAATAATTATGAAATTTCTGAGCTTTTTGTCATACATTGGTTCCCTTATTATATAAATTTTTAAAGAATGGAGTCATTTCCTAAATACTTAGCCACTTTATCATTTCTTCAAAAGTAAACTTCGGCATAGCCAGGATCATCGGATCCATAATAAGCCTTTTTGCGCCCAAGCCTCCTTTTTTGAAAATTTCATTTCTCTCTCAATCCTTTTTTTTCAAAAACGTGACGAGAGGATGAGATATCGTTGTCTGCACTTATTAGGAAGACGATAATTTAAAGAATTTAAAGAAATAGTGTTACGTTTCATTATGCTTAAAAAAAGAAATTTCCATTATATGACAAAAATAGCTTAGAAAAAACACATGCAAGGATTCTTGATTTTACTGTTTTATAAATACGGGTTGTGTTTTCATAGATGCAACCTCAAAATGCTTATCGGACGATATTTATTCGTTTTTGTAATTAATTAATTGCTTGAATGCTTTTTGAAGGATTTTCATATGCTCAGTGTCCAATCACCGGTTCTCTATCATTATCTTGTGATCATCACTTTATCAACTCAATCTTTTTATGCTTTTTTAAATTTCTTCGTTTTTTTTTTTGAGAAGCACGATCCCGGTCAAGGTTCGCTAGGTCTTCGTTATAACGAACCTCGTTACGGTCAATGTCCACGAAATGGTCTCTCGTTATGATTAGTATACCCATGCGCATGTTTTCTTCGATTTATGACCAAAAAAAAAAAAATTAAAAGGACGAAAAAGATATTAATCGTTTATTTATTTATTTTTTTTTATAAAGAACAAATTTACCATCAACTTTCATGCTCGCATGATGATTAATTAATGCATGTAATGTTATTTTTCGAACAGAAATTTTTGATAATCCAAAAAGGATATGTCATACGTGGTACAGTGAAGATTCAAAAAAAAAAATTGCTACATTGTGCCAAAATTTTAGCTGATATTTCATTATATCTGTGATGTAATAAGTAAATCATAGATATCGAATCCAACCGTGCATCGATTTTTTTATTTATATTTATAATTGAATCTAAACTAAATGAAATCGTAACACAGAAATATTTTTTGTTGGTTTGAAAAACGATTCATTCATGAAAATAAACAAAAGTAAATTAAAATTGTTTTAGACAAGTTATATTTTGCATGATTTTTTATCACGTATGACAAGTTATTTTTAGAGGGAAAAAATTTTTTTATTGCACGTTTCGTTTGTAAATATACATATAAAGGGTCCCAAAGACTTTTTTTTTCATTATTTAAAGAAATTTCCTTTAAAAAAAATCAAAAAAAAAAAAATATTACATTTTTTTTTTCTTCTTTCTTTAAAATCCCTTATTACACCATAAAAGGTTTTAGATAATAATAATAGAAAGGAAAGAAAAAATTTTTTTCCTGCAAAGCAAAATTTAGAACAGATGGGAAATAATACTTCGACACTCGAACAACCTCTCCGGAGACAATCATTAAAATCATTAAGAGGTAGCTTACGCTATTCAAAAAGAACTTCCCTCAATAGAAAAAATAGAGAATCACAAAATATTATTAACTCGCAATCACAACAACGATTTAATATACAGAAAGATTTCGTTCATGAACCCGTTATACAACAAACGAAACCTTCTTTAAACGTTAATCCTCGCATTTTACTGAATAAAATCGATTTCTTGGATGAAAATTCGTATTTTGATGGCATTCACGGATGGGATTCTTCGGCAACCTTAAGCAACAATAATACTTTTTCAACAGGATCAACGTTCACTTTGGCACCTTCCGATGAAAGGACATCATCTCCAAGTACATCATCCTTAGAAACGGATTCCATCCAATCAGAGCATGGGGTGATCGGGAATATTACGGAAACTCCTATTGTTGAAGAACCCGATTGTTTTATTGATAATAATAATCATTATGGTCAAACGATGAATACGCCGCATTCATCATTATTCTTCAGGGAGCATGATAATAGCTCAGAAGAGACCGCCACATTAAATCCATCATTATTTAACTCGGACGAATTTTACACCTTGCCGGAAATTCACGTAATATCCTTATTACAACGAGATGACATCGAGATGGCTGAAATTGAGATATGGAATCAATTGATCACGTGGGGAGTTAAGAATACCTTGCCAACCTCGACGAAACGATTATCCAGATGGGATGAGGAAGATTACGAGGCATTAAGGGAAAAGTTAAAGAATTGCGTATCCTGGATAAGATTTTTTCAAATAAAACCTCAGGAATTTGCGGAATTTGTTTGGCCGTATAAGCAGATCCTTCCCAAATCAATAATTGGTAATTTCTTGAGGCAACAAATAACTGGCCATCCTCCAATTATAGAAACTCGTCAAAATCCGCCAAGAATTCCCTCCGTTGATATAGATTCCACCATCATAACTGGTAGACATGCTTCTATATTGGCTAGTTGGATGCAACAAGATGAACCAGTGATTGGAGGAAAAAGTCCTTTTAACTTTTGTTTATTATATCGTGCAAGTAGAGATGGATTTTCATTCAAGGAATTTCATGAGTTATGTGATGGTCAAGGTCCAACGGTTCTTGTGATCAAATTGGTCAACTCCAAACAAATTATTGGTGCCTTCAATCCTTTATCGTATCAAAAATCTCGAACTAGCTTGTTACGTAAAAATAAATTAAAAAGAATGTCAACAGATTCTGCCTATTATGGTAAAGATTACTCGAGTGAGAAAGAGGCCAAAAAGGGTTCCTTCCTTTTCTCATTTCAAACTCGTTATTACCCTGAAGAAACTGCAGTGATTAGTCGTATAATACCCGACTGTTTAAATGATGCAATAAAGCACTCTCGGGATGGTCCTTGTTTTGGTTTAGGCCCGGATTTATTGATTAATCTTAATGAAGGTGAAAAGATTGGCAAAGTTTATCCGGCTTCTTATCAATATCCTATTATAAATTTTGAGGGGAACTTCGAGTATGAGGATGTTGAAGTTTTCAGTGTCATGAAAATGGAACAATAGATTTTGAAATATATTTTTTTGTTCAAATATATAAAATATATATACACGCATTTACGTACATGTTTATATGTATGTACATGTATATTTAAATTGTATATAAAATTTTTTTATCTATAAATTTATGGATCGATATTTTAATAAACTTTTGTAGCTTAATCACATTTTACATATCTTATAAATCATGAGGATGACCTAAATGACCTAAATAGGTTTTTTTATTAAATTGGTTTTTAAATGACATTTTTAGCCCTTTTTTCGCCCAAAGACAATTGTTAATTCTCAAGACCACCATAAATGATGTAATTGATACTTTTTGCGTCAATATTTAGTGGGCCCTGTCAGGGTATTGAAAAGTCGGGGTATTCGAATACCCATGATATGGAACCAGTCTTTTATTTCCTTAAATAAGAAAGGAAAATTTAATTTCATTCGTGTGTAAAAAAAGATAGTCTCAATGTTTTTAAATTAAAAATAATATTTTTTTGTGTTTGAACAATGTTATTGCCAAATTCGAATTACAAACTTGATGTAACTAACCATCCTATGCTTTTCATTACCACAATGCACATTTTTTTGTGATCACCTCCTTTTTTTTTTTTCCTTTGTTGATAAACATTAGAATAATAAAATATGTCAAAGGGCAGAACTGTAAATAATAATAATGATAATGAAAATATATCAACAAAGTGCGAAGGGGCCTTTCCCGATCCTACTGAAGATGTATTTTGGCAAAAAGTTTCAACCGTAATAAACGAAAATGATTCCAATAATGTAAGTATATTAAAAAAAAAAAAAAATTTTTTTTAATAGATTTCTCGAAATGATTTTTGTGTTAATGCTAATGAATAATTTTTTTTTTTGAATTAGATTGATGCAGTATGGAACCCATATAAAAAAGATTTGAATCAAAGACGAAAGGATGAAGATATCGTAATAGCGCCACCGCCTTCTCATCCTGTTACCAACAATTATGCAAGGCATTCACGCAAGAATAGTAAAGTATCTTGGGAATTACAGACCGATTCGGAACGTCATGTGGAATTACTAGGTGTGTGTATATATATTTTTTATTAAAAAAAAAAACAAATTATATAGATTGATTTATCGTCAACTTGGTGGTCAATAATTGAGATCTTTTTTTTTTTTTTTTTTAAAGAAACGAAATTAATTGAACTCAAGTCAAATCATAAAAGAACTCATACAAGGTCCAGTACGGTGGACTTTGATGGTTTGTACTTTTAAATTTGAATTTCCTTTTTTTTTGAATGATTTCACTTCATTAAAATACCTTTCGTTCAAGTTAACACAAAATCCTCAAATACTTTTAGGTACACCGCTATCAACTTTGGGATATTATTCAGAAGAAGAGATAGGAGCAGGAACAATGTTTGAGGAAGAGGAAGAAACGGATTTACATCCTGATAATCATAATCCACAAGAGTCTGATGAAGGATTATGGTTATTATGGAAAAATCAATCAATGAATGAATTTCAGGATGAAGATAATGATGAAATCTTCACGCCAACAGGTCAACTATGGTATCTAACTTTACCCATGTTATCCAGGTCAAGATTCATCAACACCAGCAACAATGATAATGATCTATTGAGAAGGCCAAGGATGAGAAATGAAAATTATGTTACTAACTATCGGGAGGATTCAAGTGAAATTCCATTTTATGATGATGATGGTGATGATGACTTTAATTTAAATGATGAAATATTACTAAATAGAGCCAAAAGAAAGAAGGAGATAGAATATTTGAAATTTAATTTAAGAAGTTATGAATGTTGTGGTTGTAATACAACTAATGGTTTATGCGCTGATTTATGGAATAGTTGGTGTTGTAATTTGGTTTGTATACCTACAATATTATTTATTAGGGGAAAATGTTGTGGTATTTGTGGTTTAGAAGATGATTGATTAAATGTGTTATTCCCTTTTTTTTAAAAAAAAAAAATAGTAAGAAAAAATTTATTTATTTTTAATTAGAATTTTTTTTTTTTTTGTAGCTTTATTTTCAATTAATAACTTAATGTAAAAATTTAATACGAGAATAATTTTTTCTAAGCATATCTCCATTTGTATGGAAAGTATAAGATGATCAGGGAGGTGAAAATGCAACAAAGACTATAATAGAATAAAATATTGTCCTTTACACTAAATTTGATTTCTTGTAATGTTTTAATTTATTACCCCAATCCACCCAATCCGATTAGAAAATACAAAAATACAAAAATTTACTCCATCCACATGTGAAAAAACTTTGAATAAAATAATACGAAATTTCATTATATCACGATCTTCTCGCGAAAAATTATCGTTCCGCAAACATGCCACGTTATATTACCAATCCATCATCTTATTTTTGTTTAATTAAGGGCGGCGAACATCATAAGAAAGAATCATTGGAGGAAGCGGTACGACCAACTACATTATCAACTGGCCGATAGCGGGAAATTTCTTATATTGACGAAAGACTTGAGCCAAATCCAAGATAAACCAGAATTACGTTGTTCTTTTCTAGGCCAGAAGCACAATATCTTAAAATTCTCCTTTGTAGCGTTGACCCAAAGTTTATAAGTAAATTTCCACCCCCACGTGATCGGCGACATTTAAGGGTGTGAAACAAAAATTTTTTAGTACCCGAATACATAGTAAAAAATGAAAATCTTGAGCGATATTGGGTAAGATTTGATAATAGATACGATCAGGAAATATGTATTTATCCTATTCTTTTCCATATATTTGATTTTTTTTTTATATTAATTAAAAATAATATAAATAAAAACTATACATATATAAAAAATCAATAAATGACGGATTATTGAAAATATAATAATTCTGTGTAAATAAGGATCTAAGAACCACATAAAATACTCTAATCTTAAAAAACTACTTATTTTAGTAAAATTTAATTTACTGTAACTATAAATAAACTATTGTTTATTACAAAAATATTATTATTACTACAATAATATTATGCTATACCAAAAAAAAAAATATTTTAATTTTAATTTTCGCTATTATATATTTATTTTTAATTTTAAACTATATTAGGCTAAAAAGTTGTCTTATCACAAAACCTGTCAAGAAAAAAAAACTTTTGTTCCCGAAATCCTGACCCGATAGTTCAGAATCCCTTTGGACCCCAAAAATCCTGTTGGTATATAAATTCCCGAAACCCGAAATTTGGTGTATTACTGTATATCGTTAATTTTATAACCTTCCCTGCGTAATTTAGCAAAAAAGCTAGAACACGTGAATTTATCTGATTTTTTTTTGATAAAAAAAAAACTTTAAAAATAAAAAATAAAAAATAAATAATACTTCTTGCCAAAAATTCTAATACGAAGTATTAGATTTAGTTAATGGTATTTGAGAGGACTTCGAAATCATGTGATCATCGGTATTCGGTATTTCGGATTTTCTTGTCGGGTTTGTGACTTGTCATACAGAGGCCATGACACAGTATAAAAAAAAGAAAGAAAAAAAACAAGATAGGTAAGTGAAATGGCAAAAAGTATTAAGCGATTCTAAAAAGTTATCGCGATTGAGATTGGATTTAATTGTTAAGATTTGATTTTCGATTTCGATTAATCGATTTTTTTTATGGAGTGATTTTTTTGATCATAATATTATCTAACATTACCAAAATATAATTTATTTGTTCAAATATTAAAAAAGAAAAAAAAAATTAAACTTATTCACAAATCGGGTGATAACGATAATTTTCATTTTTTGACTTTTTGATTTTTTATTTTTCGGTTTCGATTGTTTCAAGCTGCAACGGTCGAATGATATTTTCATTTATATTTTCAAATTATTTTCTTTTTTCTTGCTTTTTAGGTTCCTCGCCTCCTTCGGGTACGGTCATTTCAGAAGTAAAGGTCAAGAATTTTTTTTTTATTTTTTAATTTGTCTTTTTTAATCTTTTTGCTTTTTTTTAGGTTCGATCGCTTCACTTTGCATAGATTAAAAGTAATAGGTAAACGCGTTTCTCAATTGATTCAATTTTCTTTGTTTCATTTACTTTTATAATTTTAATTTTTACTTTCGGCGAATTCGTAGTTAATTTTGGCAAGGAATTAATTTATAGAAATGAGACATTTATTTTCATAGGAAAGATCAGAAATTTGAATCATGCTGGCGAACATTTTTATTTTTCCGCCCTTCAGCTTTATTTTTTTTCTTCTTTCGGCTTGAATGGTTTCTGGAGGGCGTATTTCCTTTTTTTATCTTTTATTTTATTTTATGTGTTTAGTCGATTCGGGCTGCATTTGAATAAACTATGACAGGCGGGGTGGTTATCAGGCCTTTAAAAAAAAGTAGTCGCATTTACTACGCCATAAAATATTTATTCGATTTTCGATTAATCAATTTTTGTAAGTTATTTTCAAATTTCCAAACCTCGAAGTGAGTAAAAGAAATACGCGTCCAAGGGTTGTATTTATTTAAGGCCAACATAAGCTTTTAAAAAAAATTAATTTATAGAGGTCATCAAAGTTTTATTTTATTACTAACTTAAAAATTTACCGTTTACTTTTTTTTAAAAAAAAATTATTTTTAATTTAATAAAAAGATTAATTTTCTAATATCTTTCACACGCAGACAAGGAAATAGTTCGTTGGAACCCAAGAACTAAATCATCGTGATATTCATTGTCAGTTGATAGAAACGGGAAAGCTGCCAGGAAAACCAAAAATGAATTTCATGTATTTGAATTTTCAAGCAGTTTCCCTTTTTATTGCTAAATGACTCATATGACAATCCAAATAGTAGAGCCGCACCATATAATAACAAAGAATTCTTGGATTAATTGGTATTGATAAGTCGAATATATGTCTAAAAGCGGTCAAGATATCGCTTAACGATAATTCAGTAATTATAAGATGTGCGAGAACATCAAAAATGCAATAGTACTTGATATTTCAAAAAAAAATAGCAGCCCTTCTAATAATCATCTTTAAAATGCTTAACCTTATATTGAAGAATTTGTTTTCATAATCATCAAGTAGTGTTTAATAAAAAATAAATACATTACTGTTAATGATGGTGGAATTTGTTAAATCCAGTAGGTTCAAAATCTAACCACAATCAATCGAGCGAGCGAATAATTGGTATCTACAAATTATAATAACTAATAATTGTGTCACGTTCCTTATCTTTAATGATTAATCATTATCATCCTTGTATCTCAGTGACTTGCTAAACTTGTTCTTCTGATGAAGGGAATAACAGCAGTCTCATATTTCCTAAACAAGGATTTCTTCAATGAGCGTAAATTTTGTAAGTTTTTCTCTTAAAAAGCATCATATGAAATCGGGGATTTAGCTCAGTGGTAGAGCAATCGACTGCAGATCGATAGGTCACTGGTTCAAATCCGGTAGTCCCCTCAAAAGAATTTTCTTTACTGAAAAGTTTTTTTTTTCTGGTTTTTTATCTTTTTTTTTTATGAATGAATGTATTTCTAATTATTGTCGATCATTTGTTAATGAGTTCAGAAATGATGATTGGCATGGCTAGTATAAATACGATACAATCGAAAAAAAAAATTTTTTTTCACTTATTTTATTTTATAAATAAATAAATAAATTTTTTTTTTTATCGATAATGGTAGTTCGAATTAGATTAGCACGACATGGAGTGAGAAATCGACCGTTTTATCATATCGTAGTTGCAAATGCAAGAGCACCAAGAGATGGTAAACATATAGCAAAAGTAGGATTATATGATCCAATTCCAAACCAACAAGGAATTAAAAAAATCGAATTAGAAGCGGATAAAATTAAATATTGGTTAAGTGTTGGTGCTCAACCGAGTGATACTGTTGCAAGACTTTTATCAAAGGTAATTATTATTATTATTATTTATTAATATTATTCTTCTTAATATATTATTCTTATTTGCTCGTAAACATCTTAAATTGTTTGATGGTACTTCACTTATTTAACTCGATTTCTCATTAATGATATTAGTCTGGTTTTGATTTTACAACGCTCAAAGATGAGAATAAATCAAAGAATAAACCTAATACAGAGAGCGAACTTGTGGAAAAATTGGAAAGCAAGTGACAGGCAGGTGTAGAATGAATTTGGTATAATTAATAATATGATTATTATTGAACGACTTTGAAAACCTCAATTTCTTCAACCCAAAATCGATCTTCAGTATGCCGTATTGGTTTATCATAACATCTCCACCTACAAAAACCTTCTCTTGGTTTAGCGGTACAAGAAAATTCCATATCACCTTTGCCGAAACTTGGACCAAAATTTTCGCCATCGTAAATAGCATAATTTTTAAGATTTGGTTGTATTCTACTTAAAATATATTTTGATTCGAATAAGTCGCCTAAATTAAAAATAAAACTGTCATCTCTTGTAATATACTGATTCGCACTTTGCCATCCAACAGGATTATAACCTCCTATAATTTCTTCTCTTCTGTCAACCTCAATGTCATTGTTATTAACTTTAATTTTAATTAAAACAAGCGAAGGACCTTGATTATCACACATTTTATGAAACCTTTCAAAAGAGAATAGATGTTTACTCCCTCTATATAGGAGATTAAATCTTATCTTACCGTATTGAATTTTACCGTTAACATTTAAATTACCCTCATTGGAATCAATCCAATTCGCAATTAAAGCCGCATGTTTGTGATTAATTATAGTTGAATTAATATTGTAAGGGGGTTTTCTCGGACCTAAATTTAAGTTGATAGGATCAAGACCATTGTTATTTTCAAAATGATATCTACATAATAAAGTTGACAAATTTAATGGTAAAATCGATTGAAATGGTTTGACTTTTGTTTCATAGTCTTTTGAAGAAATATCCGAAAATCTTATTAAAGGTAACAAAGGAGATAATGTTGACTTTAACGAAACAAAATCTATTGAAGAGACATCATCAAAAGAGTCATGTTCGATCTCATCTTTATCCACTTGTGTATGAGAATTATGTAATCCCCATTGAATGATTTGATTCCATAACGCAATTTCCTTCATTCTGATATCATCTCTAGATAAAATCGCCGTTAAAATCGATATATCCGTTGATTCAAATAACGTCGACGAGAAGAATGGTTGAGGGTCTTGCGTTATTAGGTCTACGCAAAATGTTTGAAGATTTGTGAATGCGTCATGTTTAAATGCTATGTCTATGACTAGATTGGGATTTTGTTTGATGTATTCGGAAGAATGTATGATTAAATGTTCTTGTATGTGAGAAAATAACTCTTCAAGTGCCAATTCATCGGTTGCCTCCAACAAGTGAATTAATTCGGAATTTGTCAAATCGGTGAGATCTAAAGTTCCCGTATATAAATAACTGAAACGCAAAGAGGAAAAAAAAAATCAATATTTCGGATTCACACGTTTCTCTTATTAATGATTAAACGTGTTTTAACTATTTTCATAGGAAAACCTACTTTAAAATGACTTTAAAAATATTTGGCAAAATATTTGGTTTTTTAAAAATGATCATGTCATTATCATCCTTTTTGCACCAATCATTGGATAAGGCGGATTTAAAGTATGAACATCTTGCTCTTAATATGATTGAATGTGCTCTAAATATTTGTACGTTTGAGGTTTGACCGATTTCCAACAATACGTTATAACCATCCGGATCTTTTAAAAGGTTTGATATATCATTGTTTAATTTTGACAAGAAGGATATCATCGTTTCTATCTTTTATCTTTTTTTTTCCCCCTTTGATATTTGATTTTTGATTTATAAATTTTGATCCTGGTTGGATTTTTTTTGAGGGTTTATATAAAATTCTTTACGTATGATTTATTTATAATGCAATTAATAAGAAAATTAATTAATGAGGTTTTAAAATTTTGATGAAAGGCAAAAAAAAAAGAGATAACCATTTATTGTAATTTAATCATAATTCGTGTCGCATATATAAATTGGAAACTTGGTTTTGGCGGGAAAATGTAAAAAGTTTATTCCTTGCAGTTTTTTATTTAATTAAGGGAAACGGAAATTATTATTCACTGACTAAAATAGGCGTCAAAATAAGTGAGGTGACACATTACACATTTTTGCGTTTCATTACTGAAAACCTACTTTCAATATTTTCAATGGTATCTCAATAAGTTAAAGGGAAAGTGAAAAATAAATAAATAAATAAAATAACCTAAGGACCTAAAATAAGTAAAGGGAAATGAATAAATAATAAAGAACATATAAATTAAGGTCAGATGGCTTTTGCCACCTTCCAATTTTTATTTTTATTTTCTTTTTATTGCCAAACCTTGTTATGTGCCTTTTCTTACCTAAAATTAGTAAAGCTCGTTACATATATTGATTAGCGAGCACATCAGTTGACATTAATGTATTCATTTTGGTAGATCAAAGCCATAACGAGGGTGATTAATCCAAAAATAAAATTTTTTCAGGGATTATGATTTTACGGTATTTGCTGTTGATGCTGTTATATGCAAGAAATATTGTTTGAAATTTTTTTATTATGTAAGTCTGAAACAGTCCCGTATTATTGACTTTTTTTTTTTTTGAATAAAAAAAAAAAAAAAATCATGGAATAAATTGGCTTATTTTGTTATTTCAAAAATTTTTTTGGAAAGTCGCGACAAAAGGGTATTGTAAGATGGTTGTTGAGATGTACAGTCAATCCTCTCTTTTTAAATGCACGTTCAGTCTCGTTTTTTATATGGTCCGATGTGTGAATTTCGAGAGATTTTTCCGTATATAGATTTTCCACCAAAACTATCTATCATATTTACAAAAAAAAGCTATTCTACAAAAAAATCAAATAAAAAATCAAAAAAAAAAGAAAGAAATTAACTTCTAAATATATATATATATTCTACAAAATCACTCAAAAAAAAAGTTTTATCGAGAAATAAAAAAAAAATTTTTTTTATTTTTTTCGTCTTTTTTAATAATAATAAATGTTATTATAATTGTAATCATAATAAGATTGATAATGATTGTAACGGGGGATATTCAGATAATTATATTCATCAAAATCATTGTTTTCACATGTATTATCGTATACCCAATCCGCTCCAACGACTGGCGCACTTTTCCCAGGATTGATTGGCATTTTCAATGGTTGAACTGCGTAAGATGCGTTGTTGATGGGAAAATTTTTTAGACAATTTTAATTTTTGATTTTTGTCTCGAGAGAATATTATTGTACAAGTTTGATTACCTTTTTGAGCCGGTTCGGATGGCTGAACCCATGACTGACCATATATCGTCGTATTTGGATCATACGATTTTGCGGTTTCTTGCCGTGGTGCTATGGGAACAAAAAAAAAGAGATTAATATGCTGAACGTTTTCACCTTTCCTTTCCTTTTTTTTTTAAAAAAAAAAAAATAGACACCTTGATATATGTTCACCGGTGATGATGTGGAAGTAGACCCGGAACATAATTGAACAGATCTTGCAATTGAAGAATCAATCTCATCCACAAATTTAAAAGGATAAAGGCAGTTCGGATCTTCGGTGTAAGTGGCTCCAATGACGGTTAATAATTTATTCGCATGTTTATCTGCAGCATATTTCTTGTACTTTTTCACCAAATCAACATAATCGTCACTATCTTTGGCCAAATCATACGAAGACTCGTACATCAAATCCTCACAATATCTTTTAATAACCACAACGACGGACACGCCAAAATCCGAAGTCAAAAACAAAATACCAGGTTCTTGCTCGGAAGGATAAGTATTAGGTAAAGTTAAGGAGAGATTCAAGGAATCAGTAATCCAATGAAAATCATAAAGATATTTAAATCCTGGTAAATAATATTCAATGTGGGATAATATGGAAGAGGTTGTTAAACTTTCCAAAGAACGACGTCTCCATCTATCAATTTTATAAATAAAGGGTATAAAACTTTGATAATGATATTTCGATATCTCAATCAAATGATTTAAATTCAAATCATGATCTCTCGGATCCCATTGATAATTAAAGATGATGGTACTACTTGAATAATTGAAAGTGACCGTTTCAAATTGCAGGTATTTCGCCGTTCGAAATAACTCAATGAAAGGATTTAAATCTGCGATGCAGGATATGTCCCCGTGATGCATCCTTTGATTTATCTGTTGAAAACTTTTACAGGTGGAATTCTCTTGTATATTATTGAATAGTATGCGACATAACGTTATCACAAGGTGTTGTAAATCTCTCTTAAAGTTTACGTCCATTACACGTGACGTCGTACATTCTACGCATTTGCACATTTCCATCGTCCGAAGAACAATTTAGAAAAGTTTGAGGGTTGTTGGGAAAGGAAAAAAAAAAAGTTACTTGTTACCGAAAAAGTATGTGAAAGGACGAGTGCCTTTTTATATGATTTTTATTTAATTTTTTTTTTTTAAAAAAAAAGAGGGCAAAGGCAAATCAAATTTTTTAAATTAGGAAATTCATCGAATTTTGATGATATAACCCATTTTACTCATTTTATACTATAAATACCCTACATATATATATTATTGTTAATCCAAATTCTTTTTTGCCCACGTGCCAAACCTAATTTTTTTTTTTTCAAAAATCCTTTATCCTTTAATAACACACATTCTATACTGTTCTGTGGGCGTTTTGGTAAAAACTTGTTTCGAAACAATGAAATTAATTCCAATGACCAATTTTATAATGGTATTATCCTATGTAAGGGTAAAACCTTAAAAAAAAAAAAAAAAAAAAAAAAAAGAAATTGAAAGAAAAGAAAATAAATTTGATTAATAATTAACAAAAAAAAATTTTTTTTCCAAATCACTTTTTAAATTTCACTTTGTTGTGGTTGACCATGCTAGGACCAATCGAGTTTAGTATAAACTCCAAAAAGGGATTTCTAAATTTCGACCTCGTTAAAAGTTTGAACCTTAAAAGAACGACCCCCGTCGTACTTGAATACTTGAAGAGTAGGGAAACGTTTAATTATGCCAATTCAGGAGGTCACAAAAATGCAGAGAGTTGCAGCTCGCACGTGAAACCATAAATAGAGGGTAAGAAAAAAGTTCGAAATTCGGAATAATTGAGATTTTCGGATGATTTTCATATTTAAAAAAGCATTCTTGTTAATCATAAGATTCGTTTTCACCCTATTCAGAAGCGAATAAATGAAAAATCTTTCCCCTTCAATTATCCACTGATTGGTTATGATCATGATTCAAAAGTCCTTCTAAAAACGATTTCATTTCATTTTAACAAATCAGACAACTGGCGTAATTCGATTTCATTACATAGAAACTGCTCATACATGTGCGTATTTGATTTGAGACTTTATTAAGAAATTCTTAGATATACATGATTATATAACCAGGGGTAAGTTTTAGAACCAGAGATTTTTATCAAGTATCCATCAGTGTAGATGTCTGATAATATGCATTTTGCATTCATATATGGCAAGACTCGTTCCGCAGTTTGCGTGCGACATGTAAAATGCCTGGTCTGCTTTAACACTTTCGTCCGGCCTTGGTGTCTCTTTTCTTAAACATTAACACGTTTTACTTTTTTTTTACTTATTTCCCATCGTTAAAAAAAAAATTGTAATTGTATAAATATTTTTGACACGTCAACTGATTTAACTGCTGATCATTTTTATTATAAATCAAATCTCGCCATTTTTCTTGTTCAAATGTCACACGATATTCTTGTGGCGTTGATAAATATCAAAGTTTCTTACCCCATAACCTGAAGGTTTTATTATGAGACTTGTAAGTGTCCATTTCTTTAATGAAGTCTTCAATCAATTGATCATATTCCTCAGAATTCATCCCATACTCTTTAGAAAATTTTGGTTTATACATGCGAAATATCGTTGTTGCATTATCTAAATTTAGACTACCGAGTTTACCAGCGTAACGACCCTGTGGACAGTCACGAAAATCTTTTTCGATATCCGTCATCTGATTTTCTTTCATGAATTCTGGTATCGTGGCAATGATACAATCATCAAAATTGTGAGATCTAAAATCTGCGATCACTTTTTGTTTATAAAAAAAAATCTTTTTAGCATCGATGAAATCCAATTTTTTTATTTATCGTAAAAATTAACGATCACACTTACTCGAATTCATTAATCTTTTGGTAATGGGACCGGACTTGTAAATATTCACGTCCCATTCCATGATTTCCACGTAACCACCTTTTTTTGTCACGCGAACCAGTTCGGGTATGACAACGTCTTTCCATTGTTCGGTTGAGAATGCTAACATAAGAAATCTCATATAGACATAATCAAAATGATTGTCGGGAAAATTTAAGCCTTCCAACACGTTTTGTTGAGAAAATGACGAATTAAAAGGTTTGATGGCGCTGGGAAATAAAGATGAAATGTCTGTCCCATGAAAATCTTCCGTTTTAGGATAATCCGATGCCATTTCTAATATCCACGTTCCTGGTCCGCAGCTGTCAAAATGTCGGAAAAAAAAACCATTTATTTGATTTGAATTTTATCTTTTATTTTTATTTTTAAAGGATGCTCACCCTACATCAAGCACTCGAACTTCTTTACCCCCATGTTCTAATAATTCATGCACGGGGGCGGAATAATTGGATTGCCAGATATATCTCGTCAAATAATGTTGCAAATGTAATCTATCAATTTCAATATCATCGTTTGGTAAATGATATCTTAAATTTGGTACATTATGATATCTCCTTCCATCAACGTATTTGAACTCTTCTTTCCTATTATTACTACCATCATTATCTTGGTTTGAACTTATCATTCTGCTTCTGTTTGTGCTTCTACTTGAATGCAAATGTCGTTTAAAGCCGAATGATCTTGCATTAGAAGATGATGAATTATTTCGAGAGGATGAATTATTCGATTTTGAAATTTTTATTCCCATCCTTTTTTTTTTATTTTACCTTGGGCAAGATTAATCAGTTTTAATATGGAAAAAAAAAAATAAAATAAAAAAGAAATTCTTTTAGAATCTTCTTTTTTTTAATTGATAAATTATTTCCTAAAGTTATATGCAAGTTATTTATATAAAAGATTTCATCAGTTAAAAATTTGTTTACGGGTGCAAAACTGTTTACACCCAATAAGGATTATGTAAGATTATCAGGGTCCCTTGTTGAACATTTGCCATGCATGACATTCGTTCACATCGTGGAAAAACACGCCTTCAAATATGGTAAGGATGTGATTATCTAAACAAATTATGAGTATTTGATTTAATAAAATAAATCAATATCATACGTCGTATCGTACGTATCGTACGTTGAATTCAAGGCGAAGGCCAATATAAATTTATAAAGACCAAAAAAAAAAGTTTTAATCGCAATTTGTTTATGTATTTCACAAAATTTATTTGATCGGGTATTCCGTTAATTCGAATATATTTTCCGAACTTCATGTTGGGCTGAAGGGTGGTTCAAGAGTATTATCATTAATTGAAACTCGTTTTTTAAAGTAATTTAAACGGTATCTTACATAAATAACTAAAACCAAAACAATTCCCTGTTAGAAATAAAACAGAACCTTTTTTTGTACTGGGATCAAGATTAGCCGAATAAAAAGATGATAATCATTCAACATCCTTATATTTTTACAAAAAATAAGTTATCTTAAAATATGTGGTGATGTTATCAATAAAATAAAAAGATTTGACAAAAATTTTGTCAAAAGTAATCATATGACTCAACGTGATTTTCCTAAAGTGGAAATTAAGTTATGTGGATTGTGATTGTACTTGTACCACAAAATTCTTTGCATGAAACTTCATTTCAAACTCTCTCTCTCAAAAAAAAAACGGAAAGAAATTTTTTTTAAAAAAAAGGAATTATTATTCTTTTTTTATTTCGCTTGCCATAAATAATAATGAACAATATAAAAATACAGTGTATCGCCATAATTGGTAAACAGGTAAAAAATTTTTTCTTGGTTTCTGTTCTACTTTTTGTTGTCGTCTTTAAATTTTATGCTAATTTGTTTCGAATCTTTTGATAAGAATAATCCATTATACATTAAAAATTTTAGTATATCACATCCTGATTTAAAATATCATTATATTGCTCATACATCTTGTGATGTCATTGACGAAAGAGGTAAGAATCAATTCGGGGTTGGGGATTGTGACTTTTTTTCCTTCTCTTCTTTTGTTTTAATTCCCACGCATTAAATCATTAGTTGGAGCTGCTGGACCAGAAGCTGCCGATACCTATCTTGGATTATTATATGCAATGGAAGATTTAGCTGTGTAAGCCATGAAACTTTTTTCCTAAATAAATTGAAAAAAGGGTTAACATTAAATTATTGATAATGTAGGTATGGGTATATAACAAATACTAGAGTAAAGTTTGTGGTGGTTCTCTCGGTTCCTGATGCCGTAATCAAGAATTCAGACATGAAGAATGTATGTTGAACTTTATTAGAATGTTCTCAAACTGATCAATTATATTAAAACAATTTTTTGAATACAGTTGTTTAGGAGAATTCATACCGTGTATATCAATCAAGTTTGTAATCCATTTTATAATTTAGACGGAAGGAAATCAATTGTTAGTAAAAGGTTCGTTGCAGCTATTGATGCTATTGGAAAGTCTCCTGATGATGATGCTGCTGTTAGTCCATAAGAAGTGTGTCATAGGTGTTGAAAATAGAATATATCCTATAATTTAATATTAAAAGTTTTGAAAAAAACGCACCCAAGAAATCCGTGTTATAATTTTTACTTTATAAGAAAGACCGAAATAAATACGTTATTTGAAAGGGGAAAAAGGATTTACCTTGTATTTTATATTCTTGTTTAGGAGTAGCAAAATCACTATATTTAAGCGTGATTTTATTTATCAAATTTTGAGTTAACTATTTTTGGTTATCCGAATTTTACCAAATCAAATCTTCCTTTAACTCGAAAAAAAACATTTACTCCTCATGAATATTATAAAGTTTTTTTAAAATTATCATAAAGCGTTCACCCTTTATTGGAACCATTTCCAAATTAAAAAGCCGCTAGTACTTCTAGTATAGCATTTCTCGGGAAACGCAGCGTTTCATGAGATAGTTTGCTTATTTATATATTTTTATTTTATTGTCTTGGTTTTCTTTTCTTGCAAAAGTAATTTTATATTATTATGACTTCTTACGTTGGACGCCTCCTTCAAAGACTTCAAAGCAAGGAATTCCGGGATTATCTTATGAGGTAAAGATTAAAAATATGAACATATCATTTCTAATCAACAATTAAATTTTTTACATATAATTTTTTTTTTTCAGCACGGTAATTATTTAATTTATTTCAAAGGTTGAGATAATAATATGCTTACATTATTACATTATCATTATCATTATCATTATTTTGTTATTTGCTTATTCTGTACGTTTAATTCTGTTAATTAAGCATTTTTGGGGACCAGGTTTGTTCTTTTTTTAATTTTGAATTTCAATATTTTACAACATTTAATAATAGTATTGGATTCGATAATGCAGTTGCAAACTGGGGTCTTCCTCTTGCTGCTATTGCTGATTCTAAAAAGGATCCTGAAATCATATCACCAAAAATGACAGCCGGTACATGCATTTTATTTCCAATCATTTACAAAAAAAAAAAAATTTTTTTTTTTAAAATTTACCAATCATGCATGTTAACTCAAAACCTCTTTTGAAAATATTTTTAGCCATGATCATATACTCTGCTACCTTTATGCGTTTTGCTGTTATGGTAAAGCCTTCAAATTCATTGCTCTTTGCGTGTCACTTTACCAATGAAATTGCACAATTATTCCAAGGATATCGTTATATAGAATTTTATCAGTACGTATTAATTTTTTTTTTTTTTTAAAAAAAAAAATACATTTGGTTGTTTGAGATGATTTTTATTTATATTTTTAAATTAATTAGTTTCGGAGGACAAGAAAGAAAATTAAAACAATTAGAAGAAAGCAAAAAAGCATCGTCAGTGCCTTCTCCTGTCATCATTTAAAAAAAAAAAAAATTAGAGTAAATTATTTAAGGAGAAAAATGAGCAGGATGACTTTTTCAATTATTATAATAATATAATCATATTTTGATGAAGCGTTGATTTGATTAAAATATAAGGTAGGAAAGAAGTTAGCGCATTCGACGATGAGGGGAGAGAAAAAAGATCCATGAAACGCCCAGACAAAAAATTAGAAGTAATGAACAATTACCGTAGTATTATTATGAAGTAATTTTATTAATAATAAATAATGTTATATGATTCTTTCGATATTTAATTCAACCTTACAAATACTCACATTTTTTACAATTCTTATTTAATACAACTTGTTTGTTATCATATCTTAAACAAAGTTTGAACATGATGATACTCTTTTTGGAATATAAACTAATGATATATTCGGTTGTATATCCTCTTAAAATCTAATCTATATAATTTTACTTTTAATAATAATGAGAATCAAAACCTAATTCATCGTAGGCTAGGATATTTTTAAATATTAACTTGCTTCAAATCATTAGGAAATGGGAATACTCTAACTTGTTTTCAAAAACATGATGTTCAATTCCAATTCTTTATTTTTAACCCTTTTATATAGGTATTCCCATAAAATAACCAGAATTTGATTCAAGATCCATTAAATTTCTTCTCATCGAACAAATAAATCATCTGATGGGATAGAATTATAATCCAACAAGATATTTACAATCACGTCGTTGACGTTCCCGTTGAAAACAATGAATGATACATATTGGCGGCTGATATAGTCCATGAATCTCTTTTCAACGCTTTCATAACTTGATGATCTTTGTGAAACAGTATCCATATTATTGTTCGAAACTTTCATCATCTCAAGACTCATTTCAGTTGAATAAGATTTACTTATAGTTTGGACATTTAATGTTTCGATCTGTGATTGTTTTAAATTCTTTAGAATCTTTGTTCTCTTCAATTCTTCAATAAATTTTTCAGTCGATACTAATTATTTTTCCTCATGAACTCCACTTTTCGATCTTTCAAGTAAGAATCTTAATTTCGCAATCCTTATCCTTCCAATATTATCGTCTATTTTAAAGAATAATTTTTATTAGACATCCATGATTCCCGTGAGCTTTTCTCTATAAACGATGTAGAAACTTTAGGACATTCCCAATTGATCATTTGTAAATGCTCTTTCGTTTGCTCTCTCAATTCCATGACATGTCATTCTGCATCCATAATCTAATTTAAATCTTTCATTCAAACCTTTGCAATTAATTGACTTCTAAACAACTACTAATTAAATTCAATTTATAATTTTCGATTTAAATATTGAAATCGGATTAAAATCAATAATAATTTCCTCTAAATTGTAGTACCTCCTTTTTTTGTTGTATCTACTATTATAACTCGAAAATAAAAATGTTAATCTCATCATTATTTTAGGATTTCACGAACTCTTGGTAATTCATATTTAAGATTCAAATTGATACTATCTATTCCTCGCTGTGGTACGTGAACCATTATAATTTTTTAATTTCATTTCAAAGTGAATTATTTTTATAAAAAAAAAAAAATATGTCTGATCACGTGTCGATAATAACTATGATAAAAATTTGACCAGCATTAAAGAAAATATTATTTCTAGCGTCATGATATCTTTCACATGATTTTATGCAATAAAATGAACTATGAAAAGAACAGGATGTAATTGTAACCTAAATCCGATTATTTTTTTTTTAAGAAAAAAATAAAAAATACGCGTAAAATATATATATTATTACACTTTAAATGACTTGGTCAATTATTATACCCCTAGATGACACGATTTGCTCAGAAGTTTATTTCTGTGGTAAATTATGTGTTTTTACTACTATCATATTTAAAAATAAAAGATGTTTTTTTTCACGCAGAATTCATAAATAATATTCCAAAGATAAAGAGTTGATAAATCCGTATCGAATATGAACTTCAAATAAATGATTATGTTTAAATAAATTTATTTAAAATTTATGTAAAATACCTTATTCGGCCAATTTAAGAACTCAATTATAAATGATATTATATTCTGTAAAAGTCATACGATGTAGCCCTTATGATAACTGTTATTTTTATTTTTAAATATTCTTTTGGAAATACATTGGACATTTAGATATTTTAGATATTACCAATAGAAAACAAATTTTGTACAATAATTTGCGTATTCAAGCCGACTGTTAAATAAATAATCAACTTTTTAAACAAATATAAATATTTATTATTAAATTTAAAAATCACATCACATCCCATCAATAATTTGATGTTTATAATTTTAACATCGTAAAAATATCAAGCACAAATGAATTCAAATAGTGAAAAAGTATGTAATATTTAAATAAATAATTGAAATTATCGCTATTTTTCAGAATTTAATACATTTTATAAAGCATAAAATTAACTTAAAATTAACAGTTATTTACTGTATAATTATACAAAAAACAATTAACAAAAAAAAACATTTTCAGTAGAGGACGCTATTATTAAACGCATTATTCATGAACGACACCGTCATCATAGGGAAGAAATCCTTAAGAAAAAGAGAGGAACGATTTCCAAAAAGAAGAAAACGCTAGTGCACGAGATTAATATTTACGTTATATCACACCTATTAATCACATATTCCAAACTTAACAATATAAAATATAAACCCAAAGTAAATTATTATACAGCACATATAATTATTGAATAGTTTCCTTATAATTTTTTTTTTAAAAAAAAATTAAAAAGTAAATATGTATAAAATACCTTTTTTTAGATTTAATTATATAATTTATTTAAAAATATATATTAATTAGAATAATATGATATCAAATCTGTCTAAATATCAAAAATATTTTTTCAGTAAATACAGAAAATACTGTACCTATAGCTAATTTTATTGATAAAAATAATCTACTATACACTTACAGTCAAAGCTCTTTATATAGTAAACTCTGGTTCTGACCATTTGGAAAGTTGGCTATTAAATTTATGTTTAGATCATATGGGGTGAGTGCTGGAAAAAGGGACCAAATTGTAAAAAATCTTTTTTAAAAATAATTAAAGTTCTGGATCAAATGATAAAATTGTATCCATATGATTTATAATAGTAAACAACCCATTTTTGTTCATTATATTGAGATTTTATTAATAGTTTATATATCAAGAGAAATTTATTATTAAAATTAAATTGGTGAATTAATTATTATAACATAATTTTACTATAATAAAAATTATGTTGTATTTTAAATTAAAAAATTATAATTACTATAAATATTATAATTTTTAATAATTTTATATTTTTAATTATTTTAATTTAAAATATTAATTTATAAATATTCAATCCAATTATCTTATAAAAAACAAAAGCAAAAAATACATATGAGAGCTTATCAATAGAAGGAGGAAATTAATATTTTACTTTATATACTAAATATGATTTTTTTAATAAAATAAATTCAGATTTAACATTAACTTATAAAACTTTTTTTTAAGGTTTCCTTCCTTTCTATTGATTAGTTCCTATATAATTACTTTTAATTTCTATAATTATAATTATTTTATATAATTTATAATCTACTGTATAATTTTATTTATAGTAATTATTATAATATCAAAATATTAATAAAAGTTGTTTTACTATTAAAATCAAATTATGAGATATATGATTTGAACAAAAATTTTAATAGTATAGGGGGGGATAAGGGCAGTTCCCACTAAGAAGGAATCTGCTTTCCATTGCCTTCTTGCTATATTACTTTGTATTTCC